TTAAATTTAATAAAACGGGGGATTATAGTAAGTCACAAAATTTTATAGTTTTTATTTTCTAGTTTTTTTTTTTACTTAATTAGTTCTATGAACAGGCATAACTCGTTGGTATATTGCGTTTGCTAGCCGTGTGATCGACCAGGGCTTTTGTCGCAAACGAAGACCTTTTCGAGGAATAGGGCTTTTTTAATTCATGTATTTAGAAGGTATATTAATAGGCAGGTATATTAAAAACGGATGAAAAGAGAGGAGCAGAAAGGAAGGTAAGAGATGAGAATTACAAAATTTGCAAATTAATAAAACTATTTTAATGGTAAGAGATGTTTCGGTCCGTTGAGAGTCGTATACATTTCTTGCCATTACCACAATTGGACCTCGTCAATACGACGAAGTGCATTTGTGATAATGGCAAGAAAGAAATGTCTGGACTGCCTTGTTGTGGTGATTTTGTTCTTGTGGGATTTTGTGAATTTTCGCATCTGTTTGTTTCAGAGCCGAGCATTTAATGCACCGTCGACCGTTGCTTCTGAACAGTGTTTTACTGCGACAAAATCCACATAATGCATACGAATGGCTCAATCGTGTGCAATTATATGATGGCAATAAACAGAAGGTAAGGACGAGGAATTTACAGGAATTGTTTTCGAATTATAATTCGAGACTGGCAAAACTTTTGGCTTCTGCCTAACTGTAGATGATAGGGAGTTGGGTATAAACTTAAAGGCAGAGAATTTGATTACTTTAGGGTTGCGAAAACATACGATTCTTCCGGTCTTACTGGCAGTAAATTGATTGATATTCACTTAGGAGCCGTCAGAAGATTTGCCAACGAGTTGTTTTTGTTAGCCAATTTACGACACATAAAGCCAAATGCCTTCTTTTGATATGGAAAATGTTAGAAAAATCAAAAAGATAAAAATTTTTTTTCTTCCTGGATGCTCTTAAATATGCGTGTGTTTTTTTTTGTTATTCACTTTGTGTTTGGAAAATAAGTATATTTCAGTATATCCTCAAAAGCGGCTTGCGAAAATTACCTCTTTTTCTGAGTCTTTTTTACCTGACGCTTACCACTGCGTGTGATATATTTTGCAGCAAATTGAAACATATGAGGAGGCAGTGCGGACGGTGCAACCAAAATTACAGACTGGAAAACTATCAAATATATGGATAAGTTTTGCGAAA